TGTCAATTGTAAAGTGATGAAGTGGAGCATTTGTTCAGGAATTTCCATTTATACCTTGTATACCTTGTTTTTTTCATTGTTATTGCTCAGAAGGCCGCTATTTATTATAGGTTTTTTTTTTAATATGATTATTTTTTTATATTTTTCAAATTTGAATGAATTTTGATCATTTTTAAAGTATGGAATAAATTGATTTTAATTATTTCTTATTTAAAAATATTATTTATATGTCATTGTTTACTTAAATAAAAATAATTTTTTAATTAAACAGAAATTACTGAATTATTATTGTAGTAAATGTGTTAGTTTAATTATATTATTCATTTCTTTACAAAAGTCTTTTTATTGCCTTTTTCTTTTTTAATCATACAATAAAAAACGATTTTCAATAGATTAGTAAGTTTATTTTTTTAAACAGAAAATATTTTGAACTTGGAAAAATCGATTTTATTAATATAATAGTATCAAACCATGAAAATTTCGATTTTTTTTCTTCTCTTTCTCTCTCTCTCTCTCTCTCTCTCTCTTCCTTTTAATAAACTGCCTTGAAATTTCGTTTCTAAACTTTTTTTTTGCCCGCAAAATTTGAATTTGAATTATTTATATATTTTTTTTTGAATTTCATTAGCATCTAATAATAAATTGTTACATGTTAGCAAAATTGTAATATTAGAGTTTAATTAAAACTTGAAAGCCTTAAATTTAAGTCTTCTTATTTTTTATTCACTACCAATTAAATGATAAGATATATATTTTTTTTTAAAAAAAAAAAGGTGTGCCTTTATAATATCATTAAGCACTGATTTTCCGCATTCTCCATTATCAACATGTATCACATCAATCACATGATAACAATTCATATATGATTAATAATGTAATGTAAGAGTAAGAATCTTTCATGATTATTTTTTGCTATAAAAGATTTTTCGAAAAACAATTTCATATAGGAGCGATTGCTTTTTTTTCTTTCTAATAAAGTCATTTTTAGATTAAAATATTTGCTTCATATTGAAAAATCTTTTTAATAGAAAATCATCCAAATAGAATTAATGCAAAAAAAATTGCAACAAAATGAAAATTGCATCCATAAAGGAAATGAGAAAGATTAATGAAATGAGCCAAATATTAAATTAGTTTGATTTTGTAAAAATTAGTTACGGAGAGAGAATTAGTTTAAGTAAAAAGAATTAGTCTGAAAAAAAAAAGAATTAGTCTGTTTCTTTACTTACTCTTTTTGTTTATTTATTTAAACTTATTCTTATTGCTGAATATTCTGAAATTTAAAACTGAAAATAATTGGAATGAATTTTGAGAAGAATCAACAATTATCAATGATAATGATAATAATTATTATTGTTACTAATTAAATTACAAATGATAATATACACTAAGAAATTTGAAATATTTAACAAATTTATCACAATGTAGTTTGATTGATTGTTTTACAGTATTGTATGTGTGTATGTGTGTGTGTGTGTGTGTGTGTATGTGTGTATGTATGTATCATTATTTAAATTTATAATGAAGGAATTCATATTTCGAAACAATTTTTAATACTTAATGATAAATTCAAAAAAAAAATTTATGAAATCACTGAAAATCTAATTTTAATGAGTTAAAAGCTTATCAGTGATTTTGATCAATACATGAAAAAAATACTGACATTAGTGATAAAATAATTGATAAAAAACGAATGTTATCACTTCTTTAAATTTGAAAAATGAAAGAAGAGAGAAAAATTGATTGGTTTGTTTTTAGTCACTTATTTATCATTTTATTTTTTTTGTTTTTTCATATTTGATACTTTTAGTTTTTCTTTTTTATCTTTTTCATTTCATTGATTTAATGATAATTTGATGATAATATATGATAATTTAATAAATGTATCAAATTTTTATTCTACTCTTATCGCTTAATCATTCCCGCTATTCAGTATTGTTTCAGAGTTATAAAATGAAAAACAGCATGAAAAAATGCAATTAAGCCTAAAGAGCTAAATAGTTTTCCCAATGGTTCAATTCAATGAAAATTTTAAATTCATTTAACTGCTTGATGAATGGATAAGTATCACTTTTATGAAATTTAACTTATCTTTTAATGAAAAAAAAAGGAAAGGAAAGAGCTCAGATAAGTGATATGTAAACATTGATGAATTTTTTCAACAACTATTCAACAAAAATCATTTTAACTAAATAACGCAATAAACTCTAGCAAACATAGTAAATGGTTAGTATTTTATCTTTTCCATGATATCGTATATAAAATCTGTTTATGAAATCCGTTTTAGAAGATTTCTAAAATACAATTGAAGTTGAAATTATTTGATAGATTTGTAAATTTGATGAAAAGATAAGAAGGATAATCAAATTTTAATTATTTCATTTAAAAATCATTAAATTATCATTTGGTGAAGATACTCGAATTGAAATTGATTAAAAATCAATAAATCATGTAACGATGAAAATACTATTACAGCAATCGATGTGAATGTAAAATTAACAAAAAGGCAAAAGCATGATTGATGAAAAAAATAGTAAAATGATAAATGTTAAATTAGTGAATATCATTAAACTAATCAATTATTTGATTGAATCTGATATGAAAAAAGCAAAAGCACGATTGAAGAAAAAATGTTGTGGTGACACACACAGTCTATTTGGTGACCCACACACACACACACACACACACACACACGCACACACACGTTATATACATACATTGACAAAGACACGTACACAATTTAATTTAATATTTTTATCGAACTGAAACTGATTTAATGGTATCATCTATAATTAATGATATTTGAACTGAGAGATAAAGAAATGAAAGGTCATAATGATAAGATCTTTTCAGATAGATTTGTCATTCTAATAGTTTCAAACTCACACTATTGAAAATAAACTTCTTTTTCAAGAATTTTGATTTACTTATCGGAATTTTTGCAAGTTAGATATAGGAAAGCATAAAAATTAGTGTAAATCCTGCTGATGACATTATTTACAATTAATTTTTTTCCTAATTTATTTTATTTTTTCCAAGCGAAATCCTTTGAAATTCGAAATCAGTAGTTGTTAGAAAAAATTTTTCTACATTTTCGAAAAATACACCTCACATTTATGATATATGGACTCATTTATGTTGTATGTTTGGTATACTCATTGTAGGCATTGAAAAATTTCAATAGGCTCTAATAATAATTTTCTATTTAGCCAGCCTTTTGATAAATTATCAGTGTCAGATTAGGGAAAATAATTTTGCTCATTATCAATGAAATTTAATTATTTCTAAATGCTGAAGTTATATTGAAGAAGAATTGAGAATTTTAATATCCAATATGTTCAATTCATCAAATGATTTAACCTAATTAATAACGACGTCAATATTCTCAATATAAAATGTTATAAGAAATAATAATTACCTTTGTCGAATATGTCCAACATATCAATGTTCAATACATCCAATATGTCCAACATATCAATGCAATGCCCAATACATCCAATATGTTCAACTTGAAAGAACCGTAATATTCAATATGTTAAACTCGAGAGAATACTATCAAATGCAAATAGAGTAGTAATTTAATTCTTTAATGAATGAATAAATATATCATTTTTGATTTCAGTAAAATTTTCAATAATAACTCAAAGGAACAATAATTATCTTTTAATTTAGCGCTTTTTGTAATTCAAATGATATTAACATTCAATTCTTTTGCCATTCTGAAATATTTCATTAAGATGAATTTGACTTTAAATGATTTATTTATTAAAATCATTTGTAATTTTTCTTTCTCTCGTTTATTTCATGAATAGCATTTTGAAATTTTTGCGCCATTAATTATAACAGATTCATGCTTATTTGTTTTAGGGATTGATTTCTTTCTGCGTGCTAAAAAAGAATGATCCTTAAATTATTTGTTGAATTAGTTTTTTACCTTTTCAGTCTTAATTAGAAAATAGTTAATTAGTAATGTTAAAGATTGAAGATAACACAATCTTCCGATACTTAAATCATTACTCCAAATCAGTCATCAAATTCAAACTCCCACCCTTTTCCACTTTTAATCCCATATGTCATTCTTACATGCAATCATTTCATTCGATGGTCGATTTTTTCTTCTCAGCTAATTGTCCGAACTTTAACCGACGATAATTTGCATATGAGGTTTTGATCAACGTGGATTTTTTGTATAAATAAGGGTGTATTGTGTAACGTTGGTTTCATTTGTGCATAACTAACGGTGAGAAGGAGGGTTTTGCTTAACTCTCTTTCTCTTTTAATTAATTAAGACATGAAGCCGCAATTTGTAGCTGCAAAAGCGCACAGAATTGTCGAAGTATCGCGTGACACAATTTCTGGTCATTAAGATTTTATAATGATTTTTTCAAATTGCTAGACGATGCATTTTTTAATATTCTGGTAATTAATTGAATGAATATGAAGATGAATTGAATGAATATGATGAATATTCTGGTAATTAATTGTTAGATATTTGCCTTAGTTGCTATTCTTTCAGAGCTATTTGTTTTCTAATTATTATGCACAAATTTTGAGGGCTCATTGAGCGGAATACCAAATACATTATTAAAGCAGCCTCATATATCATCTAATATTTCGATAATAGTTCGATGATTCATTTATACCATCTACATTCAGTGCCATATTACATTCGATGCTCTTGCAGTAGCATAACCATAAAAAATTCAAAAGAATCAATTACAATCATTGCAATAGTAATAATAATACCAATTAAAATCATTCAGCAAAGATTTGCTTTTGGATTCCTCACTTATAATTTACATTTTCTGAAATTCAAAATATGTGATGACCATATAACTGACAACTTAACTACTTGATATAGCTGAATATAATTGACCATTTTCCTTTTTGGTTTTAATTTCAGTTTTTGAAAAATGGCTTCTTTTATCATCATTTTCCGGCAGCAATTTTACTAGTATGTTTTGTCAGATATATTATACCACTTCTTTTTAGGTTTTACGATGCCAATTTTTGGTGAAACATCGTCACCTTATGATGAGACCGTTGAGAAAGTTACTGCTGAAACATGCACCACCGAAAATTGGACACTGATTCTTGATATATGTGATCGAGTAATCGCTGATCAAAATAAAGGTTTTCATCCATTTCACACTAGTCATTAGGCTGATCAGAATAAAGTTCTTAAAAACTCGCAAAAGCATAGTCCTGAATGCAGTATACACAAAAACTTTCCGAAAATGATGTCTCCTATTACTTTCATAGCGGTATCGGAGGTAGGTGGAATGCAGAGTAAATAGGAAATGATTTTAGGAGCCAAACTGTGCTTGCTCTCAGTGAAGAAAAGATTAAATCATCGTGATCCACATGTTGTTTTGCTTTCTTTGTCTTTGCTGGACTCCTTGTGGAGTAACTGTGGGATCGCATTCAGACGTGAAGTTTCGTCGCGTGAATTCTCGCAAGAATTAAGTTTCAAAGCTACACATGTTAGTTAAAAACATCCTCATTGATATAAAATAGATCTAACATCTGTCATTACTACATTATTGAGTTCGATACTAATTGTTTCATTTCTACCCATAGGAAACACAAATATATTATTATTAGCAGAAATATCAATATTCATAAATGATATGAAGATGAATTAGCAACTATATTTATCATATCTTACTGTACAGAGTAATCGTTCAATCAGTGAAAAAACACGTTCGATTATCAAGAAATGGTCAGAAAATGAATGTAAACAGGATGCGTCTTTGGGTTTGATTGAAACTCTCTACAAAAATCTTCTCGCAGAGGGATATTCATTCGAAACGGACAGTTCGTCCAAGTCTTGTGTATGTACTTAATTATTAATTTTTAGTTATCGATGATTATTGTATGAGTGACTTGGAGTATTAGAACTGGTAACTCTACCTTTACTTCTTATCATCTGAAGTAAACAGCTGTAGAAGTGCCGTTATCATTAACGGCTTTTTTTTAAATGGTAGTTTTCTGAACTGAGATGAAATTGAACACCTTATCCTCTTTTATAAAATTATTTTATGTCGTGAAATTTTCATAAATGTGTACAAAAACACGAGATATTCATACCTGACTGTACTACGGATAAAATTATTCAAACACCATTTTCGTTACATGAGGAGATGGGTTTAGGTGAAATTTTAGTTTGTCCTTCTGGGAGGGGGCGAATGAAAAAGGAAATTTTATATATTTTGAACGCAGCGTACTTCTTGTTGTGCTTAGTCATCCCTTTTTAGTTTATTATGAATGAAAGATAAATTATTTACCTAATATTGTTCGCGTCTTTTAGTTTAAAATTAAAAAACAGTACAGTTTTTCTAAAAAAATTAAACGAAATAGTTCTCAGTATTAAAATAAACGGTTTAATTTTCTGATATTACAAGTTAGGAGAATTTTGCTTCCAAAAGGAAATTTCTTGCATTTTGAAGATCTCTTCATATTTGCTGCTTAATTTAGTAAAAGGTTTGAGCAGTCTTGAACTGGTTTTGGTCTAACTTGATATGATTCCAATACTTAACATTTATAGTACAACGTATGTTCTAATACTCGACATTTATAGTGTAACGCGTGTTTTTGTCACAGATTTATGTTGGGTGAATATCAGATTTAATGAATTTTAAATGTCACATTCATCGGGCTGGAAATAGATTTAGTCGTTGAACTGAGCTTTCCAAATAATTTTGATGAGGATTGCAGTCCTCAAACAATGATCCGAATGCCGCACGATGCGCAGAAGAAGAGGAAGCTTTGGTTCTTGCTATAGCGAAGTCTCTGCAGGAGACAACGACACGAAGCGACCGCATTTCCTCTGTTTATCCACCAGTAACATGTTCAGCCGTATTTCCATCTACCCCAAAGTAAGTTCATTATTTCTTATTATCTTTGCCTGAAAACTTATGGTTGATAAAAAGGAGACGATCTTTGCCTCTAAACTCGTGAATGCGATGGGGCTTATTTGAATAGCGTATATAGAATAACGCTGTTTCGTGAATGTCAGATTAGAACGCGATGTACGAGCACTGTACGACTTCGAAGCTGCTGAGGATAACGAATTGACATTTTCGGCGGGCGATATTATTACTGTCACGGACGACAGTGATCTGAATTGGTGGAGAGGTAGATCTCATCGCGGAGAAGGCCTGTTTCCAGCAAGCTTTGTGACATCTAATTTATTGCCTCAAGAAAGTGAACCACTGGTCAAGGAAAAAGCAACTTCTCTAGCTGTGAGTTTTTTATATAAACATAGTTGTAATGGTAAACGAATGAGGCTAGTTGTTAATAACAATGTTTTATTAATGTATCTTGTAGGCCTTGGTTATTTTAATTTTTGTTTAGATAACTGTAAGCGAAATATATGTGCAAATGAAGAATTCTCCATTTCTCTTCAAATCGGCTAGTTTAGGTTTCTGTAGCGAGAATTGATAAAACAGCGCTGGAAGAATGTCTCCGTGTACTTGAAGACTGTGATCCAACGGGAGAAAGACCAGATCCACCTGAACTCGCTGATCTGGAACAGCGGAGTCTAGCTCAAGTATTTTAAAAATTTTCTTACATATGCAAAATATAATTACCTTTCCAGTTTTTAACTTCAAAATTCATAAAAACTGAAATTTGGGGTATATATATATGTATATATATGTTTGTCATATATGCGTCATATATGTATATCTTAGTTGTTTGCTGTTTGATTCATTAAGATTTACTGAAAAGTATTTCAGGCCCCATTAATAGATGCACGATTAGCAGAAATTGACAGGCAGCATAACGCTTTGGCACAAGTGGACATTGCAATAAGAGATGTATTATCAATGTATGATCGAGCTGTGCAGCAAGCTCAATACCAGGTTTCATTTAACTATGGGTATTCGATGAGATATGGTATTTGAATTTCATATAAAATTCAAGATATTTTAAGAACTTTACCATTACCATGATATTTTGATTCTTCCTTAAACTCTTCTTTCGAGACTGGTTTATAGTTATCACTTATCAGTTGTGAAGTTACATTTATTTGAAACAGATAACTGTTGCAGGTATCGATGCAGCAGCCGGCAGCACAACCGGTGTTTGGATATCAGGCATCCGAAGTGTCGTCAGGAGCACAGTGGGGCACTGCTCCAACAGGAAATATACCTATATAAACATAAGAAACTTGTATAAATTGTGTAAAACAAACATTTAACTAATTTCTTTAGAGGGACAGGGTAACGATAAAATTTCATTCTTTTTCTTGAAGTTTTTTTCATGTAAGAAAAATTATAAAAATTAAAAAATCTGGCATCTTTTGAAAGCGAATTTTTTTTTTCTTGACAAATTCAGAAGATAAATCATTGAAAGGAACGGGAAATTTAAATTTCCTGAGGTACTATGTCCCACTTTGTCGATGGTACTTTGATATTTTGTCGAATAATTCTACTTTGATATTTTGAAATTTTGCTTTATTGAATGATAATCAATTCTTTCACTTTATGAGTAATAATTGTGATTTATTGTGATTAATTGACATGATCAACTTCTAAAAAGAGCAACACATTTCCATGTCGAAATACAACGGGGTAGGTTAAAAAGTTTGTCATACAAATGCACTGAATGTGATCGGGGTACATCATTAATTGAAACAGAGATGAATCATTTTTAACAGAAAAATTCATCTATTTAGTTTAATACATAATTCATTTCACAAGCCAATCTTCATTTGAATAAATATTTTTCAGCTTCCGCAGGCGATTTTAAATCCTGAATTCCTTGTTTTACAATACTGTCCGATGGTTATGAATTGACTTGCTTATCGATCCATTGTAAATAACTTTCGCTGCCACTTTCTATCTGAAATAAAACGGAAAATCAAAATTGATTCCAAATGCAGAAATCGCTTGACTTTTGAGTTTAACTGGAACAAGATAATATCCATTGCATTTTCAATGCTATTATCGATTCGGTTTTCTCTTCTTTGAAAAGAAAGGAATGAAAATGGGTTTTTGGTTATTTTTCGTAAAATTTAGTGATAGAATTTATAGTGTCTCTTTCAAGATTCACAGATTAAAAAGAACTGTTAAAGTCATTTAAGGAAGAACATCTTTGGAAAGAGGTAACACAGGCTGTCTAAACAATAAAAAACCTGGAAATTAAATAGTATGGACAAGAAAAGACCGTTCTTAAAATTTCACGGTAATTAATATCATCTTTGAACTGTTCATTTTCAAATTGCTGATGAAGAGGATACATAATGTGTTTAAAGCCCACCGGTAAAGCGATGAATTCAGGTACTTTGTACGGATGCATACTGAGCACTTTAGCTTTCAAAGCGTCCAGCGCTGCTGATTTTGTTTTTATGACAAGTAACGTTTCTTTATCCTCTTCCACTTTATCTTCCCATTCATATCTAGAAGGATTCCAGAAATAGAGTGATAAACAAAATGGAAAAGAGCATAATTTCTCTCACGTGTTTTCAATAAGAGAATAAAAAAGTAATGGAAAAAATCGAGTGCAAAGCTCATGAAGAGATAGTTTCAATAATATTAGGTATTTGATTAATTTCGAGAAATACGCACTGTTAAAACCTGCTATAAAAAAATTATATGTGCACATTCACTTTGAAGGAAGTGGAAATTTTGTAAAACCTAACACTATTGAAATTATTTGAACCCTTCAAAAATGCATGAAGCAGGAAACTTACATTGAAGTAATGGTCGGTACGATGTTAACACAAGCAGCATACTTTCCCTTTACTACTTCTCTGAAACGTTAAGGTATATTGAATTAAAAAGGAAACACTGGTGAGCAAAGAAAGCTTATAACTAACTCAATTAGAAGTGCAAGTAATAATAGTTCAGTAATAGAAAGCTTCCCTTTATTAGTTTTTCTTCTTCAATGTTTGATTCAAACTAAAGAAAAAAGTAGACAGAGCTGCATGCTTCAACTAGACTGATCATGTATTAGGTAATGAGCGTTCTCACTGTTAAAATGCAAAAACTTCCATTTTTAAGAAAAGCAAAAATGGGATTACCTGGCAATTTGTTGCGCAACAGTTGAATTTGGGACGGTAACATAAACAACCGAATATAAAGCTTGGCCAATTGCTCGAGTAGTAGCCATAAGTTGAGTATAGTGTTGAAACGCTACGAGAAACGCAAGAACTGCAATCACCATGCAGGGCATCGTAATCATATTAAATAAACAAGCTCTACAATAACCTATCTTAATGTTTTAGTTTAGTGATAATGACTACTACCATTGATAATGAGTTTCCCTACTTAAGAATATGCTTGGATTTTCAAAATTCAACTCAAATTATCTGATAGTAAATTGCATATATCAAGCTCTGATGCAGTAATAGGAACAGCAATAATATATGCAAATACTAAAAAGAAGTAGGAAAAGGCAATAGCTTTCATTATTTTATAAATTATAAAATGATTTGCTTTTCTAAACTGACCCTCGATAAATAACCCAACGATTCGTAACAGCTTACAAGAGTTCAGAAATATTCCAGCCTTCCATTCAACGACCAAATAATCTATAAGCTTGCTTAAAATATTACAAAAAAGTCAGCGATAGTAATAATGAACGCAAAACAATCACGACGCAAATCTTGCTGACGACCTAATATAAGATAGTCACTTTAATTCTTCGCTCTTCTACTTTTTTTAATTTAGAAAAGAAAGTGGAAATACTCTTAAAAAATTAAAACCGTATGTTTTCTCATGCCTCTTTTGATCAACCAATGCCTTTAAACAACACTTATAAATTGAATATACAAATCCGCATTTCAAAATTTTTCACTTAGCTTAAAGAGATAATACTAAAACAAGCATCATTATCTCATTCTTCGACTTCTTTTCAATAAGATCAGTCCAATGAATCCAAATCAGCACTACTAAATTTTTATATTAGATATTAAGAATAAGTAAATATTACTTTCGTACGTGTGCATTAAATATTTAAACAAGGCTCGTTCTTTTTACATAGCCAGGAGTGATCTATCGATAAATATATAAAAGTAGTGAGAATACTTCCAATGTGCATATACTGGATATTTTGTATCACTAAATCCAACTATTTACTTTCATTAAACGATTATAACTTTATAACAGTTTAACAGTGTAGCACGATCATTCTGATAGAAATAATGTGCGCAAAATATGGTGTAAAGCAATAATTCCTTCAACTGTCATATAATCGAAACAAATGATGTAATATTGATGACGAAACAACGGAAAGTTCACAGAAGAACTTCGAACTAAGTATTTGTACACCTAAGAAAACAAACAATTATGTAACTTTTCCTTCCTCCTTTCATCAATCTTCCAGAGAAAAGCGATACTTTATCATTATGCCGAGATTTGCATAAAATTAAAGTCATAAAACATAAGTGTGAAATATGCAACATCAACTAATTGTTCCAGTGACGTGCTTGTTCAACTTAAAAGGACGTTGTGGTTGTTTTTATAATCTTGAAAATTCCCAATAACAGGAAGAGATTTACGATATTGCTCCAATAATTTCATTTATAATTTTTACGGAAACCAAAAAAATACCAAATAAAAAACAAGTATTGATCTTCCATTTCTCTTTTTAGAAAAATTTGACTTAATAATTAAAATTACGAAAAAAGAACAAGACACAAAATTTTTGCTATCTTCGTTTTATTTAACGAAATATCAATCACATGTTAAAGTCAAACAATCAGAAATAATAGCATAATTATTCCTCGAAAGGAAGTTAACATACGGAAATTTATGTCTTCCTCTATCCCTTTATCCTATATAAATGACAGCTTGCACTTCAATAATTTAAAAATTTTCATGATTTTATAGGAAATTTCGAAAAGAAAAAAAATGATGGATATAGAAACACTAACCTGGTGCGCGATAATATCAAGCTGTAGTAGTTTAACGCTGGTTATTATATTCAATGGTGTTCTACTTTGTTTATTAGAACATGGACATGCCACAACGGAGATTGCACTATGTGAAGAGAAATTTGCAGCTTCACTGAAAGTTGCCAAATTTGCGGCTGCAAGTTTTTTCGTTCTCTTCCTCTTTTAAAGAATTGAAGGGAATGTGCAGTGAAAGAATTTGTAGTAACTTTCAATTAACCAAAAGTCATCTCTCTTTAAGATACAAAAACTTATGAGAGAGCAGGATGATAAACTTGATGATTTTGATTCGAGTTGAAAAATAATCAAAAAAATAGTTCAAGTAGGAAAAGAATAGCTTGTGGAATTTATTTCAGGATAAAATTAATTAAAATCCAAAATACAGCTTAATAATTGATGCGTTTACAGCTTCCGATAATAGGTGTTGTAGCATTGTCACAAATATGTGATCTCTCTATCGAACAGGTACTACATTAAATATTTATGAAATACGTTTTACCTTATGGATATCATTTTCCAAATCAAAAAAAATGTCGCAACAATTCCAAATTTTACAAACAAAAACCTGTGGTGATTGAAGTCTTGAGAAATATGATCTGTGCTAAAGTTATTTGAATTACATCAATTTTTCGAATTCATAATCAATTAGTTCTCGTCGATTACATAATATTCCAAAATCGTTAATTGTAAGAAAGCAAACTTAATCCAATACTATAAACTCAAAATATTTGGATATATTCAAATATGAAATCTAATCTTAATAGAAAATATTATATAACATGTAAATAACGTCTTGTCGAAAAAAAGATTGTTGGCGAATATGATAAAGACTCGATGGAGCGCCGAGCAATTATTTATACAATTTTTGGACAAGATCACGTCACCAAACAGTTTATTGACACTTGCCCGAAATTTCTGCTGAATGGTTATGAAGAAGAACATTTACTGTTTACTGATAAATTATGAAATTTGCAAATTTATTTTGAAAATTCATTTAATGGACTTTATCTTTAATTCATTTCCATCTATCAATCAACCAATTAAACGTTAAATTGTTGTCAAAAGTAATCGAATTTTCAATCGCGAATATCAAAAGCCTTATGCCATGCAGATATCTGACCTACATTAACATTTCATGTGACTCCACTATCTCACTTTAAGCATGTGGACCATTATCGACCGCCATGTACTTCATCTAAAGTGTGATTCATTAGACCATAAAGTCAAATACCTACACAACTAGTACAGCCGTACTACATACAAGATGCAATTTCAGTATTTAATAAACAGAACAAATATACTAATGGGTTCAAATACAAGCGAATAATTATAGGAAATTTCGACGAATATTTTATGGTAGAGTAAAAATGTCCAGAAAAACCTTATCTATACATGCCATTCGAAAACTTATACGAAAAATCCCGAAGAATCAAGAATATAAGTCGAAAATTCTGAAAAAAATACAGTCAAGTGGTAAAGAATGAATCTCAAGTCCCGTGCAAAATATGATTTAAAGCACTTTCACAATCTCTCGTGAGTCTTATGACAATTGATCGTTATTCAATAACAAATTTTCACGCCAGACATATCAATTTAGCGAACAAAACCAAAGTTCATAAAAGGTATCTGATGTAAGTGAATACAAAATATTAAGAATTTCTGAAATATCTTAAATCTCTACATTAATCAGAAGTAAAAAACTTTCAGATGACACAACGTCCTGATTAACTTTCGTGATAAATGAATATATATTTCATCGAACTCATCTCAGTAACAACATATAATTAATTATGAAACAAAATATTTGGGTACTCGTAAAATGAAGTCAAATCATTTTAAAGACATCTCACTAGTGTAGCAAAAAAGGTGAGGCACTACTGAATGCTAACGACGGTATTCCTTTTGTTGGTCTAAGAATTTTACGTTACACATAACCCAGTTTGTACGTGAAAAATTAGCGTGCATTAGTTGATGTTAGACTGAGTGCAAAGAATAATATCATCTTTTTTTGACAAGACACATATATACCTATATTTTCATTTAAAGACTATAAGTTATTTAAAAAAAATTAAAATCAGAGGCACTTGAACAGAAAGAATTAAAAAATGGAGCTAAAACTTTATCTCCATAACTTGAATCATAACGATAAAAATATGATGCAGTAAAAAGTTGAATCCTTGCTCTGAACCGTTCTGGCATTAATCTGGATGATTTAAATACTTGAAGTTAGGTAACTATAATTGTGATAACAAATGCACCATCCTTCAAAAAGATATTATAATACTCATTAGCTCATACCGAAATACAGAAACCTATGTATATTTATTAAGCGCAATCTTCTGGCTAATAATTCGTCCCGAACGATAAATGAATGCATCGATCAAGCTTGCAACCGTGAAAATACCACCAATAATTGCACATATTGATACAAGGAATGTAGAGAGGCTCCTGAAAATAAAGTTACCTCCATTAACTTGAATCGCTTTCATATCTAAGATTGAATGTCAACTCTACATTCTGCGATGGATTGAAAACATTTTCAGGATTAAGAGTTCTAAAAGGTTAATTTTGGGGAAAAATAAATATGTAATCACAAGATCTGAAAGAAAATGAAGTGACAAAATCTAAAAGTAGCTTAGATGTAAGTCATTTAAGCTACGGTAGACAACGCATATATCTAAATAAGGAATTAATTGCTCTCACATATCAATTTTATGAACTATTTCAAATAACTAAATTTTTATATTCACGACAAAGCTGTCACCTTTCCGCTTTCATACTATTTGATGAGATAAAAACTTGTTAAACAAAAAATTTTACTTTCCCACACCGGGAAATTGAAACAGTAAGTTTTTATAAATGGCAATCTGAAAACATCAGTGTTTCAAGATATATGAATTCGAAACAACCGTTACAACATACTGTCGCCTTTCCTCATATTTGACCATCAACGGTGAAAATTCGTATTGTACGAAAAAACCAGGTAAACCGGACGCTCCTTGAGATATATCTTTTTGGTATGTAGTAACAGAGAAAAGATGACTGAAGATATTCTGCGAAGAATCCAAAAAAACATATGAAGTTGGTACCAATTTTAGATGATACTGATACATTATACCATCTAAATCAAATTTCTAAAGTCATCAAACGCAGTGATTTGCTGAAGGCAAAAAATATTTAAAATTAAATTTGCAAGACAAGTTTTCAAATTTGCAAGACAAGTTTTCAAAATTACTTGAATCTTTTGCAGATCCGAAGAACTTTCCATCCAATGGATAAATCTTTCCCGGAAATGAATTCCCAAAAGAAAAATGATTGATTGTGTGACTCGTATCGAATTTTGACGGTGGAAGTGAATGTAAATCATGAACTGAAAAGGAAAGATGGTAAAAAATATGTCCTCAAAACGATAAAGCAACTTCAATAAAACACTCAACGAATATTTATACGTTGAATGCTTGCGGGAAATGGTGTATCCAGAGAGTTAAGCAGTTCTTCCAAATTAAGAAAAATATTACAAAGACATGTGGGAGTGTTTAAAATTAACCTTTTCATAGTCATATTTTACTACTTCAAAGAGATTTACTGCTACTTTTTGTTCTACCTGTAATTATTCATAACAGTCACTAGAAATAAGCAAGCACTGTCGCAGGAAAATGAAAAACAAAATAATTTTAACGCAATTACAATGAGATCGATGGGCTCTGAGTGGATCACCGGGCGCAATGTGGAAATTACCAGCAACCTGGAACCAATGATGGATATGTCTTGGTAACTGTTATGTAAATCGAAAAAATAATTTCGGAATTGAAACATCGAAATCCAACCAATTAGCTTAGCTTTAGCGTAACTACAATTATTTCCATTCCCCTTTGTCATTACATTGTTTTATGACTGGTCATTTAGAAGATTACTCAGTTGTAAAAGTTCAGCAGAGTCAAAAGAATTACAAACCTTAGCGACTTGGACCTTGCCATAAATTCGACAACCTTCATTTTTATTTTCGTTCATTTTCTTTATCCATGAATCGCTTTTACATTGCTCAACAGTTTCAATATTGACTAATTCCCATCCTTTTTCAATGTATGCATCCTTCACCTCTTCACACGTATTGCAACATCTACGAAAGTAACATTATTAAAATACTGTAATCACACTAAACATAAAATAGTTAAATATACTGCAAATCGTCAGAAAATTGTATTTCTTGTTAGAACATGAAGTGCTCAAAAATTTCAATACTGAATATACAAATATTCATGTTGTTTGAAATATAATTAATTTTTAGAGTACTTTTAACTTCGGAATATTCTTCAACTGTCAAAACAAAAATTCGATTTTGACCTAACGACAAAAATTTTAGACTTGAAAAGATTATACACCAGAAATACCCGTCTTTTGCTCCATAACAACTACCACACAAAACTTGAGAGGTAGGGGATGATGATACCGTGGTCGTATTAATATTCACTCCTGAAAAGTTTATCAAGCATTACGTTTAAACATAACATAAATGAACAACTTTCGAGCCTCGCTTCTATCTAAATGTTTGAGATTTCATAACAAAGAAATTTTGTGGTTTTCAGAGATTTGGCAATTACATCAACAATAAAACGATGGATGAATAGCAGGCAGTTGGAAGAGAAAGAGTTACGCCGTGCTTGTTAAGCCATGTATAAAAAATAAACAAAATTCAAGCAGTCTAATCCCTTGAAAATGGTGAAAAAACTCAAGGTTCTGTATCATAAAATACGATCAAATTTTATTCAAATTTCATATTACATGAGTATGTGCTAAAAACAGCCAAAATGAGAAAAAAAAAAGAGAAATACTCGCCTTGCCTGACCCCATTTCCTTCTTTTCCATCTAACAAACTTATTTTATATACATCGTCTTTGATATCATCCTGATTATCACCACTTAAATCCATCACATCAACTGTTATCACTGAAAGATACATTAAGAAATATTGCAACGGATGTTATGAAGAAAAAAGGCACGTACCGAATGGATGAGTTAAATGTGTGAGGTACACTTTCATTTACTTATACCAAAAATAAGTAGACAGAAAATGCCAGATAGTTCATTGAACTTGACACAATGAAAAACATTAGAACGAGAACGATTCGAACCAGAACAAGGTAAACGAGGGAATGTGATGTCAAAATTAACATCGACTCGCTGCTCAGCAGGTGAAGAATCCACATAAAGCTGTTCAACTATATCCACCGATAAAAACGACAGCACTTCTGACACGAACATAAATATGATCATAGCGCTAGTTAATAGAGTAACTATAAAAGTATAAATTACAAACTTTGTAAGGAAAATTTTGAAAACTCAGAGTTTTGATTACAAATACATACAAATTCGTATCAGAAATGGCAGGATAATCTCAGCAAATTTTTTCTTAATATCTGATGAAATACAATGTATACTGTTCAATAAATACATATTGAATCATTTTTATACATAAAGTTAAGGTGCCACCATTTGCTATATAATGCTACATTTGTTATATATATTTGTAACTCTTTAAGTAGAATCCTTTGCATATCATCATCTTATACTTTTATTACTACTTACCAGCTCCGCCAGCGAACGTCCGAACACGGAAATCATCCAGCGGCTTGGTGTACGCATCGAAATCTCTGAGACGTTCCAGTAACGTCATGTGTTATATATTTGAACAAGCACGCACAATAACTGCTATCGAGAATAACGTATCAACTACCAATAACACAATCAACTAACTAAACACGAAGTTAAGCCAGATGCATAATAATTACGGCACAAAGATCTATTGCTCTCCAAAATCCTGAAATCTGATTATCAATAAGCCACCGAATAATGAATAGAAAGATTAATTTAAAAATATTAAATCCATAATAAAACAAATTCATAACAATGTATACCTAAGAAGAAGAATATAATTCAATTAAACTCATTAAAATCACTTTCTAACAGAAAGATAAAGAAGTTGGATAGCTGAATTGAAAACAATGGAATTTATAAGTGGACAACTGATTAACTTATCGATGTATCAAATGACTAATACTGGACTGTAAATACGTTTTGTTAATGATTAATCATTTTTGCTGGTAGCTATCAGAACCATTTTTAACGGAAATAAACAGACACACACATACAGGAAAATAATTTATCCTTATTAGACGAAGATGTTAATGGGAAAAGGTCTTTTGCAGGGTTACAATAATAACTTCTCGTGAGAAAAAAACTAATATTCAGTTAGATAATTTAATCAGGTCCATAGTACTCATAACATTTAGAACAATGCCTCATTTGTCTCATTAGGAGTGAAAACGCAACAAATAGATAATTTCTCATTGTCAAAATGTTAATGATATCCTTTGAATTTTTTCTTGCATCAATTGACCATAACTTGATAATGTAGATCTGTCTACCTTAATAAAGTACGCACAGTATCATCTATTCCCTTACAACTCCTAGCTTTTATCGTCCTTTTGCAACAACCAATATATCAGAAGAGTGGACCCAATTTTCACTATTCAAAAAGTATTCCATCAAAGTTGGAGCGTCACGCAATAACAACGTTTCATCTTACGTTAAGCTACGTATACTTTTTGTTCTCCTTTATGAAAGAAATTAGTATGCTGTCTGGATGTTGTGGGAAATATATAATATCTACGAGAATTTTTATATGTATATTTACTTTATTTATTATATTTATTTATTTATTTATTTATTTATTTATTTATTTATTTATTTATTTATTCATGTTTATTTACTTTATTCATGTTTACTTGTTTATTTTATCAAATTTTATGGCCCATTTGTAGTAAATTTTAATCTCAGATATTCATGACTTATAGTGGAGAGAAAGAAAAAGCGATCATCTGAAAATGAAATTAAAACAAAACATTCATTTATAAAATTCATAATTAGATTTTATTTTATTTTTTCACAAAATAATTTACACAAACATATAAGTTGTTAATCTAAAACTTTGAACATAAAATGTGATCCTAAAAATGATAGAATGAGACAGTCTTGTTTTCTGAAAATTCTAAATAAACCTCAACGTTAACCTTAAATACTTTGAATCAATTATAATATCTATTAATTAATTTTTCGATTAAATGAAATGATTAATTTCTCGTATTTGTTTTTTCGAAAGATCGAATTTCAGAAAGTCAAGCGTACAATAAGAAAAGTATTATATGAAAGGTAATAAGAAAGAAATATTAATTAATACAAAGTATTATATGAGTGATAATAAGAAAGAAATATTAATTAATACAAAGTATTATATGGAAGGTAATAAGAAAGAAATATTAATTAATACAAAGTATTATATGACAGATAATAAGAAGGAAATATTAATTAATACAAAGTATTATATGGAAGATAATAAGAAAGAAATATTAATTAATACAAAATATTATATGAGAGATAATAAGAAAGAGATATTAATTAATATAAATTATAATTTGTAATAATACAAAAGTTTTGATTCATATCTATTAAAATTTGCATAATAAAAGATTGATGTGAAAGTATGCATATATAATATAGCTGTAGGAAATATTTTTTAATTTCATGAAAATAAATTTTAATTAAATTTAATTCAGTGCAAAAATAATTCATTCTCTTGCGCTGTTAACATACCAATTCGGTATATTTGTTTCATAATGTTGCTTGAAAAGTTATTAATTGTGCTTTTATTTCATGCAATCATTAATGTTCTCAATTGTCAGGTACTGTACTGTTATTAAATTAATTACTGTACATTCTTACTTAATTACTTTATATTCATACTTTATTAATTTATATTACTTTATTAACATTACTTTATTAATTTATATTACTTTATATTCTATTAATTTAAACTTACTTCATATTTTTACTTAATTATTTCACATTTTTACTTAATTATTTTATATTTTTACTTAATTACTTTATATTTTTACTTAATTACTTTATATTTTTACTTAATTAGTTTTTATTTTTACTTAATTATTTTATATTCTTACTTAATCACTTTATATTTTTACTTAATTACTTTATATTCTTGCTTAATAGCTTTATTTTTTACTTAATTACCTTTCATTCTTACTTAATTACTTTATATTCTTACTTAATTATATATAAAATAATTACTTAATTATATACATGATCATCATCTCATTCATTCCTCTTTTTGCACAATTCAATTAATTTTTGACAAATTAAGCTAATAATTTTATTATTATGCTTTCTTTTACTTCTTTCGTCAAAATTTTAATGAAATTCTTTTGTCTCATTAAATTTTGTATCATATTATTAATACTAAGGTACCTGGTGCACAAGTATCAACTATGGTAACCAAATATATGACACCAACGATAACAACATCCGGTAATTTGACTTATGAAAGTCATGCATCAAATATTGAAGAATTGCAATTTGTTATTTCAAGCGAAACGGTCGAAGGTCGTTCGAAACATCCAAATGTTACCTTTACCATACAAATTACACGAAAATCATGCAAAGCGTATGTATTCTTTGATTTTTTGCTTGTTTTATTATATAATTAATTATTCGAATTATCAAATGCTAATTATAATAAATTTTAAAAGTTTATTTATTATTACAAATTTCAAATAAATTTTATTAATTATTCAATTTTTCTTTATTTTCTTGTTTTTACCTTTGATTGCAACTTCAATTTAATTCCAATAATAGTAATTAAATTAAAATGAATGGAAATTATTTTCACAAATTATTTTGTACAACAAATTGATGTATTATTTTTATAAAAGAGTTTAGAAATTTATTAAGCTTAAACAATTGAAATTAGAATTAAAAATAAAAATTTAGATTTCGTTAAAAACAAATTCTCTATGATTACTGTATTTGCCATTTGCTATATTATTACTTTTAATTTATAATTAATAAACTTTTTTCTTGCTTTACACTAAATATATTTTTGATAGTTTCGAATCGATACAATTTTATCACTACTCTATCATTTTATCACTATTTTATCATTTTGTCACTATTTTATCATTCTATCGCTATTTTATCATTTTATCGCTATTTTATCATTTTATTACTATTTTATCATTTTATCACTATTTTATCATTTTATCACTATTTTATCATTTTATCACTATTTTATTTTGTCATTTTCTAAGCCCAATTTCACTAATATCTTATTTCTTTGATATCCATTCTTTTATATTTTTCCTTATTATCTTATCACCAACAAAAAAAGTTTATCAAGAAAGATAAAGAAATTTCAGAATAAAATTATGTTTCGGCAATAAAACTAATTTATCCCGGCATTTCGGTTTGCTAACAGGATTGGAATTTGGAGAGAAAGATTATACAAAAAAATTGAGCCGAAAAGTTTTCGCATTGGTACAACGATCATTATATGAAATAGATGCATGCAAAGGTATGACAGCAATCGAATGGGAATTCCCGAAACCATGGATATGGAGTAATACAAGTCAACAAAAAGGATACATGCATTATTCAGCTCTCTACAAAAGTTATATTTATTTGATACATAATCTTTTGCTAATCTTTTGCTACAGTAACCTTTTGCTATATTCTTGAAAAGAGATATGATACGGGTGATAATGAAATTATAAATCAGTTTTCAATTATATTGTTATCCATACTATTAATATATTATATATTATCAATGCGTATTTCTTTATCAATAATACTAATTTCACTTAAGAAGCACAAAAATTAATTCATTTCTGTGATAGGAATTTTCAATTTTCAATTTCGAATTAATTTTCAAATTTTCAGTAATTTCGAACTAATTTTCAAATTTTCAAATTTTCAACGATTTTGGATTAATTTTCGAATTTTCAAACTAATTTCTGTTGATTACATTATTGATAAATTAATTACAAATTACAGGTGAAGTACCAAGTAGTTATCGCACTAAAATGAGTGGTATATCAAATGTGGAAACAATTATCCTACATAATGATGTATATAGTATACACTTTTTATTCTGAAATTTTAATTGGATTAATTTATTTTTGTGTAAAAACATAGTCATAGATAAATTGAAACATTCAAAATACATAATCATAGATTATTGATTTGCATTAAAACAATAGCATTTAAAATTTAAAAAAAAATTTTTGATCGAATGGTTGTTTTTTTAGCTTCAGAAATTTGTTTATTTTTTTTTAAGCAATTGTTTTAATGGAAATCAATAATCTATGATTATATATGAATAAATATAGCAAATATAGCTTTATACAGAAAATCATCAAGAAATTTCATCAAGTATAGAATAGAAAAATAATTATAAGATTTTTAGATCGATTAATTTCAAATAAAGGAAGATAAATTTATTTTAAATAAAATTTTAAGCAGTTCTATTAAATGCAATCGTAATTAGTTGAATATTTCTAGCAATAAATTTATCAGTAAAAGATAGATAATCTCAAATAACCTTTTTATTTTATTTATTCATTACTAGTTTGAATCAGTACCTCAAAAATTTGGTTTGGAAGTAAGGCATGGTCCAATACTTTTTGATGAGCCAATAGATGAAGTAGCACCTGCCTATACGACATTTTATGAAACATTCGATTTATGGAGTCAATCAAAAGAATTATATTTTGTTCTTGCACAAGATGCTAATTCATGTGGTGCTCGTCTTTTAGTAAGTTAAAATTTTCAATTATTAATTAATCAAAAATATATTTAATTAATCAAATATTCAATTCATTCTATTTCAATCATATTTTTCTTCGTATTTCAATAAAACAGTTCAAAATATGCGCAATATTTTTCGATGATTTGATCGATTGATTGATTGAATTGATTGATTGTTTGGTTGATTGATTGATTGTTTGATTGATCGATTTCAATTAGCATACTTTCTCAATTAATACATTTTTATTAATTGATTGATTTCAATTAATATGTTTTCAATACATTTTCAAATTTAAAAGTTCTAAATCTTACTTTCTGTGTAAATTATTTTTCTTTTAATTTAAATAAATTGTCATTTTTGTTTTAAAAAAATGATAAAGCAATTTTTTTTGCAAATACCATTTTTCATAAAGTTAATTAAATATGGTAATTAATAATTCGATAATTTTAAATGATAAATAATCGGATGAATTCATTTCTAAATGATTGTATTATTCCATCCATTCATCTAGGGTTCCTTTTTTTTTTGTTTGTT